TTTCCATTTTTTTTTTTTTTTTATCTATATATATATATATATATATATATATATAAATATATATATATATATAAATATATATTGTTTTGTTTATTTTTATATCGTTACGGCTACTTATTGTAGTCTAAATTTATTTACTGCATATTATTTTTATTAATTATTTTCATACTCTTTTGTTTTGTTTTTCTATGTGTACTGAAGTTCCCTAATGATCAGCTTCGGCTGGACGGCCCACCCCCAATAAAGATTGTTGAAATAAAAATAAAATAAATAAAATAAAATGTATATATATATAATATAATATTATATTATATATATATATTTTTTTCCAATGAATTGTGGCCTTTGGCAGTGTTTTAATATGTTGTATTGAATTTTTGTAAGAAGTTGATATTGTACTCCAACCGTTTCAGCTTTTGCAGCTGGTTTGGAATATGATGTTTTGATGATTTAAATCTGAATAAATAAATAAATAAAAAATAAATAGATAAATGTATATCATAACCATATAGGCACATAATGATTATATATGGGCATAAAACAGTGTTTTTTTTTTTTTTGTTCAAGACAATTTTTATAGTTTGGACAGAGCTTTAGATTCTTGCTCAAGTCTTAGGTGTGAATGGAGCACCTCGTGACACAAGCCTGGTTCTCACGAGAGCCCTAGTATCCGGATCGGGAGCTAACCGTTAGCACCTGCGTGAGAACGCCTGATCGGTTAGCGCTAACCGTTAGCAGTATCCGGATACCGCTAACGGTTAGCAAGTGCTATCGGTTAGCAAGTTGAGCGTGTTTCTATCATTAACCAATCACACGCACACGTTTACAATGTGATGTGACCTTTACCTATTTGCGCACATGACAGCTGTGGCAACAATTTTAGATATAGGCTATGTTCTCACACGGCAGCTAACGGTTAGCAGGATCCGGATCCTACTAACCGTTAGCTGCCGTGCGTCCATGCGAGAAAATCCAGATCCGGATACCAACAATATAATGATCAAATCACTGGCCAATAAGAAACTGGAAATCGGGTGTTCTCACGCAGGTGCTAACGGTTAGCGCTAACGGTTAGCTCCCGATCCGGATACTAGGGCTCTCGTGAGAACCAGGCTATTGTAATGATAGCGATTGATAGGAATCGTCAATCCTATATTTATATTGATTGATTGATTGACACAAATACAAAATATACATACAAATCAATTCCTATAAAATTGAGTGAATGAAAGGTATGGATTAAGCTTATTAATTTGTTATTTAAATGGTTGCTGCTGATTTTATAAAAGAATCTTCTATGTTCACAGTAGGTTGTTGGTTAACTAAAACCCTAAAACTTATCTCAAATTACCATAGGGTGGTCTTGTCATTAACCGGGCAAGCATTATGCTTTTTTTTCTCTTATGTAGGCCTCCTATTTTAAAATATTTTATATATTATTATGTACTATTCATAAATAAACACTTTTTTGTTGTTTTTATTTAAGGATACATTGATTATATTATGAACGAACATATAAGTGTATGGTAATAGATACTGTATGGACTTCTAGTTTATGGAAGTTCATTTATTAAGGAATTCATATACATATCATATATACATATAAATTAAATTTGTCATTTAATCTATAATATCTCCATTCGATAATAGTTGCTTAGTACCTATTTTTGTCAGTGTACTCAACCGCTATTAAAACAAAAGTATCTAAAAATTTACAAGATGTTCACACGATAAGAGAAGAAATACAAAACAATCAGGATGTTGTGTCACCAATTTTAATTGAAAATACTTATCATATAGAAATTCACTTAACCATCGTACGCTTTCTTTGCTGCATTAGTATGTAAGGCTACATTATTTACATGGTTTTCTTTATTACTAATAAAATGTTTAGTTACCTCAATAAATACTTGTTATCCAGGACACATATGTTTACGTCAATAATTTTGGACTATACTTTCACCGAACTTTTTATGAGAATCATCGACTATATTAATAACGGACATCATTTTTGTCACATATTTATCATCATTAAAGAAGCATTCAAACCGCGCATCGGAAATGCGATCCGAATTTAGGTTTGATTCCAATGTGAATGGTTTTTCTTTTTTTGTGGTTTAGCCATCACATTTATTTATCAAAATAACAGGCCCGTAGCCAGGTTCTTCCAGGGGGTGGGGGGGGGTTCTGGGCGTGAGGTCCACAGTCAATGCCCCGGTGTGGTCGGCGAAACCCCCAAAGCAAGATTTTTGTGCTTTATGGGTCCAAATAATGCTATAAAAGCAGATATGTTTGAAAATGTCAGTGTCTGCGTGGGTCTGCAGTGCATTAGTTGGGTTGGAGGACTTATTTGGGAAACTTAAAGAGAGGGTTTCGCCAGAAAAGAGGGGGTTTGCTAGAAAAGGGGTTCTCCCGAACCATAAACCCCCCCCCCCCCCGGATACGGGCCTGAATAAGATACATTAAAAATATATGTATAGGCCTATCCTATTCTAAATTTAGGCATATCAAAAACATTGTTTTTTTTAATGGAATGTTAAACATAATAATAATAATTCAATCTTCATCTTACATTCAACATAAATTCACTGCAGGTTTTCACACAAGATTTTGTATATAATATATAATTTTTTTATGACAAACTAATTACTTTTAAATTATCATATAAAAAATTTTAAAGCAAAATTTTAAACAAAATAAGAACACAAATACACAATATTACTACTGCATTAATATATATATTTTTTAACTTTTGTACTTTTGTTTGTTTTTTCCTTATCCATCACTTATGTAATATATTGTGTGTTACCAATTTTGATTTTCTTTACCTTCATCAATAGCATAATAGTACAAGTAAACATAACAATACAAATACTGTAAGTGAAGAAATAATAAAATACCGTAAAACCTCGAATTGAAGCCCAGGCCCGGGATTTATCAATCTCGGAACCAAAGAAGCCAAGGCCTGTAATTAGGCCCCTGCACTAATCTTAAATATTAAATAATTACTAATTACTAACAAAATTAATTACCTTCATAAATCAATAAACTAAACGTATTTTTTCCCTCTATGATAATATCATATCTAATTCATTGGTTTAGTGGAATTAGCTGAAAGCAACTCTTATACTTGAAACTAACTGAAACCTAAACCACGGAACACATTGAACCAAAAAAAAAAATGTACATCTCAATTTCGTTCATTTTATGGTAAATGATTTTTTTTTCAGTTTTTAATTACAAAACTTTTCAAAACACGAAGGCAATAACATTAGGCCACATAAAGTGGCTAACTTGAATTGATCCCAATCAATCTGCCCACCACAGCGGAAGATTCTATTCACCTCTATTCATATTACTTTTTGTGTTTGTTTGTCGAACCGTTTCGGCTTTAATACACCTACATGACTCAATGGTAAATAATCATACAGCTTTATTTTTACAGTAGGCCAATTTTATACCGTTCTCGAACACACAGTTGACAGTACAACTTAGTGTTTGTCAGCGTGGGGTGATTAGTGTCTAAAGTATGGCTTAGTTGCTCGCGTGTCGTAACGTTCGATGGTGATCAGAGATTGTGTAGGCCTACTCTTACGATTGTTGGTAGACTTAGATGAGTTGGAGAAAGATACATGTGAACCTCGGGAATTGACGTCGGTTTCACTTTTTATTGGCACACACTAATCAGTAGTGCGTCCAAACTTACTAATCAAATAACAAGGGAACAAAAGTGTGTGCACTCCTTCTATTGACCAAATGACATCTATGTACAGGAAATACATAAAATGTTGCCGTCGGCGAAAGGTAGGAATATTTCATCATAAGTTTCTCATAACCATAATTATTGGTCTAATTTATATATTATATATATATATACTTATTTTTCAAGCAATTACAAAAACAAAATAAAACCAAAGCATCCCTACTGTCGGTGACAGGATAAACGAAAAGCAAACTTAATTGTTGTGTTAATTTTTTTGCGGACGACAAGGGCAACACGGCATGATTAACAATGGAATAGTCCATACTCATTGGAGATGACCAGGCCTTTAAATATTAAAATACACTAAAAACAAAATTAAATTGTATAGTATTAGCCGATTTAAGATCATGTGCGATATTGCAACATGAATTCCCCAGATTCCAGTTCATATTCCAAATAAGCTTATATGAATGTTAGTCTGGCTGAACTCAACGGCTTTCTGTGGTTTGTGGTAAAGGATAACTCTTCAGTGTAAATACTTTTAGATAATTATAAGGACATTCGCTGACCACAACTACAATTTGTGGTATACAAAGTTAAACAAGTAGGAGTTTATTGTATTGCAGTCAATCTGATACTGACACCGACTCTACCGGGACGAGCAATAAACGAGCCACCATCCACTTAAACTCGATACATCTATAATATAATAGATTTGCTGTGTGCGCGATCATTGGCGGATCCAGTCATGGAGGGAGAAGGGAGAATAGGGTAGCTAGCTACCCCCTATCTTTCATTTGAAAAATCCTCAGATATAGCCCTCCGTGACCAAATACAAAGTAACCTTTGTTTTTTTTTAGGCCTACATAGGCCTATACTTTGTATTTTTTTCTTAAACATAGGTCTACGCCATATATTCAATTCCCATTCCACACACATTCAATCAAACCATTGAACTACACATTTTCAAGCATTTATAATTTACAAGTGATTAACTTTCATTAAAAACACAAGTTAGTTTTTATACTTTTTGCTACGATAATTTAAATGGTTTGAAAGACAACGGCTGAAGTTACAACATGACCAATAATTAAAAATTTAATAACGGTTTAACTATTTAATGTTTTATTATTTGAATTATTATTATTAGTTCAGCACCACAAACAGTATGTATAAGTTCTACTGTTTTCTCTACTCTCTCCGTTCCACGCGCCTCAGGATATTGGTTAAGTAACAATTATTGTTGTGTCTTCTTAATAATGTGACCATTATAATAATAATAATAATAATAATAATAATAATAATAATAATAATAATAATAATAATAATAATAATAATAATAATAATAATAATAATAATAATAATAATAATAATTAATAATAATAATTACAATAATAATAAAAATAATAAATAATAATAAATAATTAATAATAATAATAATAATAATAATAATAATAATATACTGCATTCGTTCTATTAATTCATCTCCTGTTCATGCACACGGCACAGACAATCTTAGAACCACAGTCAAAAGCATTATTTGAAACAAACACACTTAAATATTTGATTATTTAAAACATTGCACATGAAGTATCAATTGCAGTTTTATCAATCTTCATACAATTCCTGGTTATATTTTATGTTTTAAGTTTGTGTGTATAAATTTGTTTTTTTCTAGGGAAACACACTATCTGGGATCACATCCTCCTGACGTGAAAAGTGAAGTGCAGGTCATGTTACGTGAACACATAGATATAGATAAATTGTTAACACTGAGGTATGCTATTTCATTGAAATACATGAGAGCAGCTTAAATTAAAAAAAAAAAAATAATCCAACATCAGCATTATATTTTTTCCCAAAATCTTTTAATTTCAGGAGGACGATTTTGAAGTTGGGATTATCTTCTAATAAAACCATCTTACCGTATGACGTCAATATCGACAGGCGCAAAAATATATCAATCAAATCAACATGTGCAATTATAGGAAGCTCGGGAATATTAACGGACAGTGGGTGTGGCCACGAGATAGACGGGCACGAGTTTGTAATTCGTGAAAACTTAGCCAAAACTAAAAGCTTTGGGAATGACGTCGGCAGGCGAACAGACCTGATGACGTCAAACAAAGCGTTGACAGAAGTTTTGGATCATTGCTTGAGGGGTGTGGAGGTAGATTGTTACGAAGAATATCACAGTCGTCTTAATGCCCTTAATGATGCTTACTTTTTGATTATCACCTTCCATGATTGGCAGAAATTTGACAAGAAACGATTTCGAAAGTTCATTGGACGAGCTAGAAATGAAAAGCTATCATTGGACATTCGTATACCAAACAAGCCGATAAAACCAGTCATAAGAGCGTAAGTAATATCCCAGATAAGATCATGACCAATTCTATATTAGGCCTATGCATTATAACATTAATTTAATGCGGTTGTTGTGCTTACCATAATATTTATATAAAATGAGTACGCCAAACTGGGGGACATAGAACAATATATTCTCTAATATTGTTTGCAGGCAAAAAAATAAATAAATGATAATAAACAAAATTCCTACAGTACCTACTGAAAATTAATATAATTTTTTCTCTACAGGTTATGGAGTCTAAAAAATGACGCTTCTAGTGGACTAATGATCTTTACCATAGCAACGACATTCTGTGACCGGATTTCTCTTTACGGATTTTATCCATTCCACATTGGCCCCCATGGTGACAGTCTACCATACCATTACTACGACAGGGGTACGTGGAAAGGTGTGCATAATCTGGAGAGCGAATACCAGGTATTCCAGAAATTACACAATGAAGGAATAGTTAGACACGTGACTGATAAATGCAGGTGACGTAATGGATCAGGCTCGTCGGTAGACAGGGCCTTGTAAAAACAACCTTGTTTTATTGCTGCGAAGCAGCCAATTCATATTCTTGACAGCAATTTGACCTCTGAAAGGTCATTGTTTGTCAAAAGACGAGTGTAAAAGACGAGTGCCTAAGACGACTGAAAAGCGGAGTTTCCTTCTTTCGTTCTGCCGGGTAAAATCAATTACTTTAGGCGAGGTTTGTAGACTAACCTACTCGTACCAACGTCCGCATGTCGCGCTAGCCTTATCCTACTCTAGGCCTAGACTAGCTAGGATGGTATAGGCCTAGCCTTGAAGGGACGAAAGTTCCAATGAAAAACAACGTCGCTCTTTGATAGCTAACATTGTCTATTTAACATCACAATAATTCATTATTAGACCTATAGTAGTTTCTATCTATTGTCGTGACGTCATGGCTCGCTGGCTCACACTTGTGATATGTCTCGCACTTGTGATCAAATAACACGCTGGCTCGCACTTTGGCAACACTCTTTGGCAGTCAACTCGCCCCTAGAAAACCCGCCCTTGGAAACTTGCCCCATAAAAAAAATGTA